CTCCTTGTATAGTTACTAAGGTTGACAACACTGAAATAATATATACCGTCGAAGAATTAACCGATACGCTGAACGAACTTGAAAAATGGATTGATGGCAAGACGGATTTACATCATCCATATAGATTAAACTTGACTGATGATGAAGCGACGAAAGTGGGATCAGATATCGAGATCGTTTTACACAATATTGGTCACAACATGCTTGGTTACATTATGCATCCTTATACAATTAATGGTATGCCTTTTCATATAAAAATCTTTTTATTTTTATTTCACAAACGTTCACTAATTTATGATTTTCAAAGCTCCGCCAAGTGTCCTTGTCGGCGCTCGTGCCGGTACACGTGATCCGTTATTTTGGAGATGGCATCGTCATCTCGATAACATTTATCTTAAATGGCAGTTCCTATTAGGACCTCGTAATTATAGTGACGATATTCCTCCCATAACTATTCGAGAGAAAGATTTAATCCTTGCCTTTACCGATGAATTAATTAAGGTTAATGAGACGGGAGTGAATGATACCTGGGTTAAGTACGCAAATGAGACCTTTGGTGGCGAGAATTTCGACAAGGATGTCTCTAATCTTCCCGTGGTCACCAAAACATTGGAAACTAAGATGAAGATTAGAGATTATGTTTGGTTGGAAGATGGTATGGATACAGAAAGGATTCAATATTTATACCCAAGAGATTGGATATGGTTTATGCGCGTGCAGAATAATTCACCAAAGGTTAGTTTTATCGGACCAACTTTGTTTTTAAAAAATCTTTACTGACTATGATGTTTGATAGCCCGCAACGGTAACGTTTCGCGTTTTTATTTGTCCAATTGAATTGGTCGATTCGACCGTTCATTGGGTCGAAATTGATAAATTCAAAAGGACAATAGGGCCTTATGAAAAAACCGTTGTTTCTCAAAAATGTGATGAAGCGGTGGCAATTCGAAAACCGGCACAAAAAACTACCGAACAAATGGACGCAACAACACTTCCGGAGTGGCGAAGATCAAAGCTAGACAAGCTTAACTTTGCTGAAGTAGCGGAAGAAATCTTTTGTGACTGCGGATGGCCATATAATTTAATCATACCTCGTGGAAGCAAATTAGGTTCAAAGTTTAAACTTTTTGTTTACGCTTCTGATGGTACAAATGATTTAGTTAGAACAGATACGCAATGCGGCAGCGTATTATTATGTGGTGGTGAAAAATGGACGGACAAAATCCCTGATAATAAACCTTTGGGTTATCCTTTTGATCGACCTTTAAAAGATGGTTCGTTTTATAAAAATTTTGAAGGCATGGATAATGTAGCTTTTACCGATATTACGATTAAATGGGTTGAAGATTTCCCAGAAGTATTGTAGAC